ATTTGATGGAGCGCGTAGATGGCGCTGCCTGACGATCGCATTACGTTGTACCTGGTGATCCATAAACATGTGGTGTGCATTGTGCGGCTGGCGTTTGCTTGTGCAGCTCTAGTGTCGAGCATGGGATAACGACGTCAATACTTCACCGACAATGCCCCTCCGAGACTCGAAGCCGACGTCGACGCCACAGCCATTTTATTTACCGGTACGGCGCGATGGGCCGCTCTGAAGTCATTCAACAAGTAGCCTGCGACTGATCTCGCCGGTGAATTCGCACAACCAAGTCGTGTTAAGTAAGAGTAAAGAGCGATCTTGAATACACTGCGTTTGATTCGCCACGGACCACATTATATCGCATTTGGATTGGGTGCGTGAAGCAGCGTGGGATGTCAGTGGATTCGAGCGCGAATTGCGGTGTCTTTCCCAAGCTCACACTTCATTTTCAAAGTGAGCGAGAAGAGCAGCAGCCCGAGACGAGAAACGGGGGACGGGGCGGCGGCAATGGTCGCCGCCATGACCATCAAGGTACGCACCTCTTCTTCTTTCTTCCGTTTCCTAGGATGGACATATTGTCTATAGAAGGCACGCAAGGACTCCACCCATTGGTGAACAAGCGACTGGCACCGCTGTCGACAACGTCGACCCGCGCCATCACGCGCGACGCCATCGTATGCGCCTTTTCTATGCATTGTGAGCGTGACACGTCATGCTAGGTGTCGACGCCGTCAATGGCCGACGCAAAGCACACGCGGACGAGCGCTTGAGTACGACCCCTTGCGTGCATACATGTGCTTGATCTACGTCGGTAGGACCCGACCATTACGAAGAGCGAGTTCGTCAAGGTCCAGGCGATGACGACCGCCGACTTCAAGGCGAGCAACGCGGCCGACGATCGCGACTCGCCTCAAGCTGGGCCGCACGCGAAGCAAGAAGGAAAGCGTCCAGAAGATTATACAGTATTTCCACTTCGTACGTCTCTCCCTAAGGTGTATTTGCATCATGTGGTCCGTAGATCCGTACCGGCACGAAGAGCGCTCCGCCATTCCTGCCCGAGATCGACGCCGGCAGCGTCGTGGAGGCGGTGCAAGCGCAACGTTTGATGAGCATGTTACCATCGTCCTTCCTAGGACGCCATTTCGTCGCAAAAGCCGCGTCGTCGGAGGAGAGCCAAAGAGCTCGGTGACAAGGGAAGCCTCTTTTGAGCGCTCGTCAGCGCATTTTGCTAGCTCGTGCTTCTAGCATCTTTTACGGGGATTCCCATCCCCCGATTTCTACTAACAACATACACAAATAAAGAGATTGAGTCTCGATTTTCCCTTGATTTCCTACCTCGCATGAGCCAGCGTAGGCACCGACACGAGCATGCACCACGGTCAACAACCAGCAAGTCACTCAAAAGCTCTGGCAATTCCAATTTGACAAGAAAAGCTACTAGTACAGTATAGTGTCGAGGGAGCTGCTGCTGTCGTTGCAGCAGTTCGCCGCTTTGCCCTTGGAGAACTCGGTGCACATCTCGCTTCGCTTCGAGACGCTCTCGTGGCGGTACTACATGCTCAAAGATGGCGAGATCACTAGTACGCGGAACGTAGAAAGTGTTGCAGATATGGCATATATTTCGTTAGCTTAGCGGCGGTAGCGGTGGCGCTTAAAGTTGAAGTAGAGATGCAGGATGCCACGCTCGTAGACGCACTTGAAGCCGCGCTTGTGCGAGTACTCCCACTCGCGGTTGACGATTTTAAAGGCCAAGTCGACGTACGGCGGGCCGGCTTGGAAGCGGATGATGCAAAAGTCGCGCGATTCCGCGGCCTCGAGCACGTACTTGGGCGTGACGCTCTTGTCGATGAGGTCGGGGTAGAAGAGGTTGAACTTGTAGCCTTGGACCGTCTTGGGCGGCGGGTTGTCTTCGTCGTAGTGCGTCTGGTTGTACTTGTTCCAGTCGTACCCGGTCTTGACGCGGTTGAAGAAGCGCGGCTTCCGCGGCTCGTACTTGGCCGACCACGACGGCAGCTTGCACGCAACCTCGTCCATAAACTCTTCCTCCTGGTCCTCCATGCCCTTGTCCTGCTCCAGTGCCATCATCGAGAGCGCTTCGCGGCTGTTGTCCAATGTGCCCGTCGTCAGCGCGGGCGCCGACGGCGATGCCGATGGAGCCGCCGCCTGCGACACCTGGTACGCGGCGTGGGCTTCCTGCGACGCCACGCGGTCGCTGAGCGTCGTAAGCAACGCCGCGTGGATGTCGTGTAGTCGGCTCTTGGCCTTGTGCACCTTGATCTCTTGCAGCACGCTCTCGTAGTACTCGACGTCGATGCCGGACCCGCCGCCGTTGATCGTCGCGTCAATTTCGGCGCCGAGCTCGTCGAGTTCGGCCCGCGACTTGCCCGTGAGCATCTCGTCAATGGCCTTCTGGACCTCCGTGTGGATCGCATGGCGCGAGCTCGCCTTCTTCTGGCGCTTGGTGATCTCGTCCAAGCACACGATCGCGAGGAGTTTCCAAAACTCGACGTTCTCGCCCGTCTCGCCTTCGAGCTCCATGTACACCTGGATGTCCTTGTGCAACTCGGTGAGCTCGTGACCCGCGAGGCCGACAAGCAGCTGCTCTGGCGCACGCAGCTCGACCTGCGCGTGCTTGAGCTCCGCGAGCGTGTCTTCAACGGCCTTGGTCGGGTCGATCACATGCGACGTGGACGCGAGGAGAAGGTTCTTGGCGAGCAAATCGATCGGCTTCTCACGGCCTTCGCGGATGCGGATGTGCGACCGGACGCGCGCTTGGCTCAAATGGAACGACTCTTCCTTCTGCTGCCAGTCGTCGTACTCGGATGCATCGCGCAGCCGCGACTCTTCTTCGCGCAGGCGGTCCATTTCCTCACGCTCGGCCTCGCGCTCGTCGCGGCGCTGGCGGACCTTCATGATCTCGTTGATGAGCTCTTCGCGCATGTCGTCATTGCGGCCGCTGCGCTTGCTGCTGCGCCGGTCACGCGATCTCGATCTCGACCGGTCGCGGGACTGAGATCGTCGCTTGCGCTCGGGCGACTGGCGCTTGGCCGGCGCGGCCTCGGCCTTCTTGTGCCAGACAAACTTGGCCGTGAGGTTGGCGTCGCCGAACGGGTTGTCGTCGTTCGAGTAGCCCATGGCCTTGACGATCTTGGAGGCCTTCTTGTCCTTCCTCCGCGCCCGGCGGGCCTCGTCGTCCTCGTCGCTCGAGTCGGCCCGCTTGTGCTTACGCTTCTTCTCGCTCTTGCCCATGCTAATGTTCGGGCGCAAAGTTCGAAATTTATTCGCCAAAATTGTGGCCGCCGTCCGCACAAAATCCGGACAGCGTCATTTTTTAAACCATTCAATTTTGTATCGTACAACACAAAAAAGTTGGCATTTTTTAACCCCAAAAGACTCTAAATTTGTGGGCAACTCACATGAAAAGCGCAATGGCGTCCTGGATACGGTGTCAATTAAATTCGCGATCAATATCCGGATACGAAACGACATTTTTTCACAATTCGCGTTGGATTGTTGGGAAGAAGAGAGCCAAGGACGACGACGATGGCAGACGAGCCGACCGTAGCGCTCACCGCCCGCGCCGAGTCGCCGTCGAGTAAGGACCGCGTCGTGCGCCGATCCGGCTTCCAGGCGCCGTACTCGCGCGACCAATATGTATCCTGCGCAGGCCATCTCATCTCGGCCACGGCGCTATACGCCTGCCTTGTACTCATGGTCGCGGTGCCCAGCGACGCGACGCCAACAATCGACTACGCTGCCTACGAAGTACGACTTCGAGGCTGGCGATTTATGGCTCATGGCGCGCTGCGTAGACGTACCTCGTGATCGCGCTCGGCGTGCACCTTGCTGTCACGGCGCTTCTGCTCTACGCGTGGTACTCGTGCGAATCCTGCGACCCCGGCGACACGGAGACAGACAAGGCGACACCATGGCTCGGCATCGTCCTGAGCGGCCCGCGCTGGGAGAAGACCAAGTACTGCGCTGTGTGCCGGAAGACGATCCCTGGCATGGACCACCATTGCACATGGTACGTGAAGCACCTGCTCATCTTGGTCGCCCATGTGTCGCAGGTTGAACACGTGCGTCGGGAAGAAGAACTATCCGCAATTCTTTACGATCGCCATCTGCGGTACCGACAACGCGACATGTGCGATGGAGCTAACGACGAGGATGGCGTAGGTGTCGTTCAATTTCTCCTGCAGTGCCTGGTGACCATTGCGCTGCTCGCCGACTGGATCCACTGGCAGGCCTACTATGGCCTCTCGGCGACGCTGAGCCTTGCCCTCCAGGTAGCACAAGACTCTTGTCGATGGCGAGACTCAAACCGGTGCAGATTGGTCTTGGCGCGTGCGCGGTCGTATCCGTGCCCTGCCTCATCATGTACTTTACACTGCTCGTGTTCCACTTGTACCTGGCGTGGCTCGGGTACGGGACGTACGACTACTACCTCAAGCAGCGCGACGCGCAGCGAGCAAAGCGCCGTCTCCAACACAGCGCGACGGTTGAGCTCACGCACAAGACGACGGTCGCGCCCGTGTAGGGTCTTCTCTATTTGCTCGTTGACAGTGTATTTTTACTCCAACGTCGCGACTGTTTCTTCGATGCGGTTCTTCAGCGACGGGAGGAGCTTGATCTGGTTCTTAACGCAGCCCGAGACGCACGCGTCCATGGAGGCCTGCGCAGCCGCGATCTGCGACTCGGTCGGGTTGCGCGGCAGGTCGTCCTGCGCCTTGTCCTGGCACTCGCGCGCCGCGCGCTGGAGGCGGTTCTAGATATCCAATGTTGGTCAACTGCCTTGCAGCCACGCAGGTAGCTTACCTGGAACTGCTGCATTTCCTGGCTCACGTAGTTCTGGACCTGCTGCATCGGCGCCTGGCACCGATCGATGCAGTGCTGGAGCTGCTCGGCGCTGCAGTTCTTGTTGTCGAAGCAGTTGACGACGCAGACGTAGCTCTTGCGCTACCCAGCGCCATGAGCCTAGGGTAGCTACAGGCTACGCGTACCTGGAGCGGGCGGAACGTCGCGCGCTCGAGCTTGTCCATCATGTCGCCGACGGCGCGGTTGATGTCGTTCTCGGCCATCGTGGTGCAATTTCAAATGTGGACCGCCAGTGATCGCACGTGCGTTAAATGGGTGCAATCGTTTAACGCAATGTCGTCGGCCGACCACCCTGGCGTCAATCAAGCCCGACAGCTACGCGGGCGAGATCGCTGCCCACAAGTGTATAAACAAGGTACGCGTAAAAGTTGGAGGCATATCGGAGCGCTGGCTTGGTGATGTTACAGTGTCTGTAGTTAGCTCAACCTTGAACCAATGTGTTTTGCGTGCGTTTAGCCATGCAGGTTTTATAGCAATTTGGGTTTTTCCTCGTTCCCCCAGCAGCAGCGACCGAAGGATCCAGGACATGGCGACCCTCGTCATCACGGTGGACGCACTTGAAGCCGCGATTGCCGCTCTCTACGGCCAGGTAGCTCCATGTTCCTCCGTCTCCATGCGCATGCGCCCCTAGAGAGGGCCAGACGAGCAGCGCAATGCTAACGAGTACCTCTTGGCCGTCGCCGACAGCAGCGTACGTCCATCTTCTCTCTACCTCCTTCCTCAACCCATCGAGCTAGTCGGCATGGCCCGTGGGGCTTACGCTCCTCGCACAACCGCCGTCGAACCCGTCCATGGACCCAACCCCGATCCAGTACTTTGCCGCCAACATGATCTACTCCAAGGTACCATCGATCGACACTCCTTATTCTCTCGCCTCATCGCTCCTGTCGCAGCTGCGGAAAGAGTACGTGACGTTGGCGGTCGCCGACCAGCAGCAGATCCAGGCGCAGCTCGAAGCCATCTTGCATCAAGTCCGCGCCGGCCAGCTCAGGTACCTCCCTGTCGCCATATACAGTACATACGAGGCTCATTGCATGGTAGATTTGCGCCGCTCGTCTCGCAGCGCGTGTGTATGGCCATCGCGTTTATCTACCTCTGCATGGACGGCGGCTGCGCGCGCTGCGTCCAGGACTGCGTCGCGTCGTCGAGTACGGCGAGCCCGCTGGTCGTCGTCTTGGCGCTGGAGCTCCTCACGAGCCTCTGTGACGAAAACACGGACGCGTACCTCCCCATGGCGCGCAAGGACAGCGTCGTGCTCGAGATCACCGAGATCAGCCCGACAGTCTTTGAGTTTCTCAGCCACGTCTTCCGCCAAGCGAGCGGCGCCGCCGACATTCGGTACGCAGCGCTGCTCTGCCTCAAGGCGTGGATCAAGGGCGCGGGTCTCTCGATCGCCAAGCTCTACACGACGATGCGCCACGTCTTTGACTCGCTCCTCGGCGCGCTCTGCGTCGTTTCGGGTACATTTTCTGCGCCGATTTGCATCGAACCGCATGAGTCCACGTAGCGGACGCGGTCGTGACGCGCGAGGTCGTCGTGTGCGCGTCGATCCTCGGCAATGCCCTCCAAGTCGAAGAGTACCCACCGGCGGCGGCAAAGGAAGACGCGATGCTGGCGCTGACGCAGGGTCTTCTCGCGAGCGAGGCTGGGATCCAGCACTACTTGCGCGCGGATGAAAGTACGCTATCGCGACTCTCTCGCTTTGGTTGTACCGCGACGGCCTGTAGATGTTGCACTCGCACTGACGACGCTCGTTGCATCGTTTGGCGAGTCGGAGCTCGAGTGGCTCATCGCAGGCAGCCCCGAAGCACTCGCGCTTGCCGAGCTCATGGTCCCTCTGCGACCATTTCTCTGTTGACTCATCGCGCAATGTAGCTGGCTATGACGGCGCAGCCCAACCGCCAGATTGCGTCATTGATGCTCGATGTCTGGCTCATGATCCAAGTATGCTTTGAGTTTGAGTTTGAGATGTACCAAGCCGCCATACCTTAGGACGAGCCGGTTGCGGACCGCCACGAAGTGTTTCGGGACGCCTTCTTTCGCCGGCTCTTGCACGTGCTCTTGCTTCAGTGTGCGCCGACACCCGAGGACGAAGACGACGACGACGCGTTCCACGACTTCCGCGCCACGGTCGTCGACGTCGTTCTCTCGGTGTACGCGCTCCTCAAGGACGAGTTTCTCAAGTACATTGCGCACGTCGTGCAGACGCAAACGGCCAACATCGGGCACCTCGACGCTGCGCTCTTCCTCCTCTCGACGATCACGGTCGACCTCAAGCCGCGGCTTCCGACGCCCGATGCGATTCTCACGTCGCTCTGCTCCGACTACATTTTTGGCCACGCGTCGTTCTCAATCGCGCCATCGGTCATCCAAGCCTCGTCCGTGCTGCTCGGTACAATCCTCACACATGACTGTGGAAGTCACGCTGGTGTGGGGTAGGCCAGCTCAACGGTTGGCTCGCACTGCCCCACAACACGACGCTGTTGGCGACAAGTGTACGCTACCTTGCGTCCGCAGTCGGTCCGTCGCCCAAGCAAGCGTGCAAGAGCTTGCTTCAGCTTTCTTGCGCAGCGACCGACACGTTATCGACCATGGCCGACCTCATTTCTCTCGTCATTCGCGCCATGCACGTACGCCACACCATTCGCTTGGCTTTGTTACAACATTTGCGCTAGGAACAACCATTGGAGCTCTCGGAGCGGCTGCTGTTGATCGAAGCGATTGTTCGGGTGGCGACCGCCGCGCCGTGGTGCATGGATGCTCTCACGTTCCTCGCAGGCCCTATTCTGAGCCGCTTGCAAGAGGCAACGCAGCACGAAGTATCCCCGGCGCTTGTCGCGACCGAGTTGGCGTGTCTCACGACGCTGTTGCGCTTTGCAGATGCGCCGACGGCCGCGGCCGGTGGCGCCGACGTCACGAACGCCCTTCTCCGACTTCTCTGGCCTGTCCTGACGCCGGTTGCGGCGCGGTATGGCTCGTCTGAGACCGCGATGGACGCGCTTCTCGAGCTTGTCGCGGCTATCCTCAAGGCCAAGCGGGACGACATTGAGGCGTTTGGTGCGTCGTCCGAGGTCGCTGCCGTCCTTGAAATGGTCGTCGCCCTCTTTGCGCAGTTTGGATACGCGTCCAGCTTTGGTCCGATCACGGTCGCGATCGAGGTTTTCGGTCCGCGGGGCGTCCCACCGGCCCTTCGCCTTGCGTTCCACGGCCTCTCGCAGCGAACCTTTGAGGTCGTCCAAGCCACGGCGCCGTCCGAGGTTCCCGACACGATCCGCGGCTTCTTTGACGTACGTATCATCAGAACACCCCTCACAAATGCCAACGGCGTGTAGCTTGCCCAACGTTGCATCATGTTTTGCCCAGGTCTCCTCTTTGAGCGTGAGTTTGGCGCGACGCTACAGCTCGCGCAGGTGGCTCTGGCGCGGCTTGGGAGCCACCGCGAAGGTCTTCGGTCTGTCATTTTCTACGTCAACTACGTCGTCACAAAGCGCGAATCGACCTTGGTTGGTTACGCTAGCCAAATGGAGGATATGACGTATGCGGGTGTAGATGGAACACAAGGACGCGATCGACGGTGTGCTCGGGAGTCTCAAGGACGCGCTGTGCCTGGCGATCGTGGATTTGCTCGCCGCCGGAAGTCCCACAACGCTCTATGCGCCGCTGTCGTCGCTCTGGTTTCATTTTCTCACAGCGTACGGGCCGCTCGTTTACCCCGCTGTCGAGCAAGGTACTGTTCCGTTCTTTTGGGAAGTTGACAGGTTGATGCAACGTCGTACTATGTAGCGCTGCTGCAGTCGGAAGCCACGACCGTGCTCAGCCTCGAAGACAAGAACCGAGTGTTTACCGCTTGGACATCGTAAGTGTTTCAAAGTTTCAAGTGACATAATGTGGAGTAGGCTGAGCGACAACTACCAAGAGCGCCGGTTCAACGCCGTGTGCCTCGACGTCGCCAAGGTGTGCCGCCGAGAGATGACGGCCGACGTTCTTGCCGAGTACGACGTCTAGTGTTCCGTAAGGGTGTAAGCGCGAGTTCGTTGTAACGCTAAAACATGTTAACGGTTGCCTGCCATGCACGAGCCGCGGTTCGCCGATTGGAGTCCCGCTAGTGTCTTTGGCCGGCAGGGCTCTCGCCTCAGTAAGCCAACTCTTGCTGCTGCCCAACCTCGAGAGGAAGCTCGGCCAACCAACCAAGAGCCCCCGACGCCCCGCGCCGAGCACGGTCGCGCCGCCTTCGTCATCCAAAAGAGCCTGCGCCTGCACCTGGTCCAGCGACAAGCAGCATATGCGGCAGCGCATCTTGCTCGTATTCAGAGCGTACTCGAGCGCACCGCTGCAAGCTCGGTGCAGCGAACCTACCGCGCCTACCGACACCGACGCGTGGCAACAAGCACGCTGCGTCGGTGGTTCGCGCGCCTTATCCTGACGAAGCGAGCCGCGCGCTTACGGTGGACGACGAGAGACGACGCTGCTCGGCGAGTACAGTGCTGCTGCCGAGCTTTTCTCGCAGCACGACGAGCCTGGCGCTATGACCGCTACGTAGCTGCCATGGCCGCTCTGTGCAAATGCCTGCAACGCCGAGCGTTGGGAGTACTGGTGACGCAAGCTGCGATTGCCAAACAAACGTTGATCGATCGAGTGCAGCAGCTTCACGCAGCGCGACAAGACCGCCGACTTCGCCACTTCCAAGCCTCGTATCGCCGACACCATGCTGCACGGCGCATGGCAGCCAGCATCATGATCCAGCGACTCTACCGCGGGTTCCGAGGTCGTCAAATCGCACGCGAGCGGCGACGGCTCTGGCTCGCGCGCTTCACCTGCAACAACTGCGGGCGGAACGAGCCAGGAGGTGTCTACTGCAAAGGCTGCGGACGCCCGAAACAGCCCAAGCGCCCGACGCCACCACGAACGATAGCGCCATCTTGCAAAGATCCCTTGCGGCCCGTCTACGCGCGGCGACGGCAAACCTTGGTACCGCCACCTGCGTTTACACACAGCCTTGTTGAAGCCACCAAGCAGCGAGGCGCTGATCTCGACCGCCGTGAAAAGGGCGTAGCAGCTCACAGCATAGACCGGCGCATGCAACAAGCGTCCCAATATCTGCAACACAATACACGCTCACACCGGTAATAATTATCTCTTGTCATGACAGAGAGAGAAACCTAACTCAGACTTCATGCTTCATAATGCACTGCCGTCAACACAGCCTCCGAGGACATATGGGTAGCAAATGCAAATTGGTGCGGACCGCCGTTGCTGGCTCACACAGAGACGGCCGCGTGCAAGCGTACGAGGACGACGACGGTAGAACATGAAGCTCACATTGGACTTTTACATACATGGGTCGACTTATGAGCAATTCAACTGGATGCACTGCCGTCAACACAGCCTCTTTACCAGAAAATGCGAAAACGACTTTAGGTTAAAACGACTTTGGGTTTGGTTATTGCTAGTCGAGGGCGCGGTAAATCCGTCGGCGCATGTGCATGCGCCGGTACCAAATGAGGCCGAGGACGCCCATGCCGAGCGCACTCATGCCCAAGAGGCCGTAGATGGCAGCGCCACCTGCGGCGCTGTGCTCACTGAGCTCGATCGAGAGTTTGGCGCGGAGGTCCGAGATGAGAATGTACGAGGTGCCTGGCCACGACGCAAAGGACGACGTCTCGATCCACCACTTGGGGTACGGCGATGACACTTGATTGGTTGGGTCTTCGCCGACCGTGATGGCGCCGCCGTTGTACTTGCTCACGAGGTGCCACGCCAGCTGCCACCAGTTGGCGACCACCTCGTCTGCAAACGCGTTCGTTTTGGTCTCGAGGTACGTTGCCATCTCGGCTGGCGTCTGCAACGTCGCAGCGTGCGCGGCAGCGGTCGCGTACATGTCAATGGCGGCGTCTTGATAGTGGTTGATCTTCTCGAGCACCTCGGGGTACATGACGTTGAAGCGCAGCTGCATCCAGTTGTTGACAAACTGGAACGCCCACCACGCAGAGTCGGTGCTGAATTGGCTCTGGCGGCCCATAAGAAACGAGTTGGGCACGGTGGACTGCGCGCACGAGAAGGGGACGAAGACCGTGCCGTGGGGCGCTGAGAGCCCGAACCACGTGACGCCGCCGATCGCGTCCGGGAGGTCGCCGCGCACTTGGTGCACAAAGCTAAAGATGGTCCGGTCCAGCGAGATGGCGCGCTCCCAGCCACCTTCAATGTTGTACGTGGCGCCGCCGTTGCGGTTCGGGTTCCCAAACGGCCCAGCGTCCAGGCCCTGCGTGAGGTCGAACGGCGTGCCCTCGTAGTGGTCCCGGAGCAGCGTCATGACATCTTTGGCCGAGATCTTCTTGTCCGGACGGACCGAGAACGGGTACGTTGGCAGCGTCGGGTGGTACGCGTGCTCGGGCTCTAGCTGCAACGACGGCGCAAAGACGTCAAAGATGCGCCAGAGGCGGCGCCCGACGTACAGCGGAAGAAGCGGACTTGACGGCTTCTCATAGCCGTACGCTGCCGTAAAGTCGAATGGTCCGTGCTTGGGGTGCCACCAGCCCATCTCCTTTGCGAACGAGTGGACGTTCGCCGAGGCAAGGTACGTCGTCGGGTCACTCAGGTCCATTTGACGAATCACAAAGCCGTTGGCGATCGCTGCAATGTGGTCGTCGGGCACGCGCTGAGCGGCCCAGACCGCGCTCGCGTTCTTCGGGCCCGTGAGCACATGGAAGAGCCAGACCTCGCCGTACTTGTCGCCCACTGCAACCGACTCGGCCGAGCTCATGAAAGCGGGGTGCGTGAGGTTGCCGTTGAAGTCGTTGTAAAAGCCATGCGCCACTGCGAGGTCGCCCATGGTTTGGACGGCGCAGCGTGCGCTGTCGCAGCGCTCGAGCGCGATCTTGGTGAGCTCGTTGATCGTAAAGAGGTTGTAGCCGCCGGGCTGGCCGAGGGCCCAGCCGACCGTCTTGGCCGCGCACGTGCTCTCGCCCATGCTCAGTTGCACCTCGTTGATGAGCGCGTAGTCAATGTCAAAGTACGCGTACGTCTTGTTGACGTGGGGCACGGCGCCGACGGGCGTCGTGAGGATCTGGCCGTCCACGGGTGAGTAGTGAAGGCCGCGGTCGTTCGTGACAAAGCGCGGGTAGCCCGGGCGCGACGAAGCAAATACGCCGCGGCTGGCGCCGTCAGCGTGCTCCATGGCCGGCACGCGCACGATGCGCAGGTCGATGGCACCGAACCCCGTGTCTTCGGTGTGCGAGACAAGCACGGAGCCGTCGACGGTTGCGCCTTTCCCGGCGACGATGACGGTGCACGCCGTGACGCTGGAGGCGACGAGCGCGAGGATGTGGGCGAGACGCATGGGAATGCCAAATGACTCGAACTCCAGGATGCCTCCGAGGTGCAGTTGAAGTCATGGCCACCTTGAAGCAACCACCTCGAGATCCAAATCGAGTGTGCAAACGCCTCGCGTTTCATTGGCGGAGACGCGGTCGCATGTCCAACGAAGTGGCTTCATTGGCTACAAAGACAGGATTTTGTCCAATGATGTCACGACGTTGAAAGAGTGATTTCGCCGTTCAACTTCCAAAGGGGGTGGGCTAGGCACCCCTTTTATATAGAAAAGAGACACGACACACTGTAGGCCTACCCAAAGCTCGGGCGGTCCTGCACACTACAACGATAGCGATGTATTGTTTTGACAAGATCATGCATGCGATAATGCGCTGGTACTGCGCGTGGTCGACTGCTAACGTCACGGGTCGACCTCGGTGCTTTCGGTGGTAACACAAAGGGGAGTGTGAAAACACCCCCTTTTCGTAAACTGTCTGAAGTCTCGGCTGCTTTTTTATTCTTTGACGACGAATCTTGAGAAGCGGCAATAGGCGATGGCAGCACTCTTTGGGCCGCTGCCGTCCGTGAACCGCGACGCGTTCCGCTGGATCCCGGACAAGGAGGCCGAGAAGTGCATGAACTGCAACTCCGAGTTCACAGTCTTCAACCGCAAGGTACGTGCTCGCCAGCATCCCACGCGACCTCATGCACGCGCAGCACCACTGCCGCCGCTGCGGCCACGTCGTGTGCAAGAACTGCTCACCCAACATTCGCCGCGTATCGCCACAAGACCCATTCGTACGAAGCAACATTGATCGCGGTGCATTGGCTCATACGCGTGTGTCTGCGTAGCCCGTGCGCGTCTGCAACCCGTGCTACACGGCCGTCGACGAGCACTTCACATCGCTCGAGTGGTCGGGCCACACGACGACCGAGGTACTGTGCCCATCCATCTTGCATGTGGCACTCATGGTCGCGTCACTGGACCTTAGGCAGAGCGCAGCCCTGACCCCGTCGCGAACGGTCGCGTGCACATTGGGCAGCTGTACGTCAAGGTCGTTGAAGCCATCGGCCTTCCGTCAACCGACTCGATCGCCAACTCAATCACAAGCGATCCGTTTGTCAAGGTCATTCTCACTGGTCGCTGGTCCCACGGACAGGTAGGACCTCGTGTTTTGCGAAATCATCTCACGACGGTCGCAGGAGTGGGGCACCGACTTGCAGTCGATTCGACTCACGAAGCGCAAGTCGCGCACGCTCAACCCGCGCTGGCACGAGACCTTTGTCTTCAACGTCTGCGCGCCGGGTGCCGAGCTCGTCCTCGAGGTCTACAACAGCGGACAACTCGGGCAGCCCACAAAGCTCGGACAGGCGGTCGTGCCGCTGAGCATCCTCATGGACCAGCGCCGGCACAACAAGTGGCTCGACTTGCTTCTGCCTCAGGGACTGTACCGCGAAGGCCTCAACAACGACGCGCGCGCGGGCCGCATTCACGTTCTGTTGCACTACAAGTTTGCGCGCGCCGCCGAGTTTGTCTCGCATTTCGCGCCCGAGCAGCCGTACGAAGCGCCGTGGCCCGCGTTCAAGGCAGCGACGCTCTACTCGAACTTTTGGCTGCTCCTCGACGACCTCTGGCCGTACCTCGAGGTGCTCTGGGCCATCTCGCCGACGCTCAACTGGGAGCACCCGAGCAGAACGTGCTTTTGGCTCGCCCTCGTCGTCTGGATGTGCGTCTACATACGGTGGGTGCCCGTGCTACTGCACCTCTTCCTCATCGGCCTCGTGCTGCGCAACCACTTTGACATGACGGTCAAGATCCAGCCATCGGAAGCTCCGATCTCGTCGGTCGTGACCCCGCCCAGCTTTAACACAGCGCCGAGCCTCGAGCCGAGCAGCAGCAGCAGCAACCTCCTCGACGGCCAAGCGCGCGTGTACAACTTGCCCCAGGGCTTTCACCACATCACGGACAAGATGACGCGCCTCACGACGGACGCCGAGACGCGGCACACGCTGCAGAACGTCCAGAACAACATGGCGTGGTGGTCGGGCGTCATCAAGTCGATCGAGCTTTTGTTTTCGTGGGAGGACTTTTTCTACACGGGGTATGTGCTCATCGGGCTCATCGTCAGCTGCATCTTGCACGTTGTGATCCCCAACCAGTACTTATTGCTGCTGGTCGTCCTCTGGCTCTTTGTGCGTTGGACGGTCCCGTACATCACGCTCAGCCGGTGGCTCTACGGCGTCAAGCAAGGGATTCGGTCGCTTCTGCACCAGCACCGCCTCCTCTCGATGCACGAGCAGAAGGGCCTCATGGACCGCGACTCGACCAGCAGCACCAACTCGGGCCCGCCGTCCATCAACGTCATGGACCTCAATGGGAAGAGCTCCATCAACAACGCATCGAACCCACGCGGCCGCATCCAGAGCATCAGCCACCGCAACAAGAGCGTCTCGAAGCGAGAACTCATGATTGGCGCCGCCGCCGCCGAGCTCTCCAAGCGCATAGCGGCCGAGAGCAGCGGAGGTGGTAGCGGCAACTTTTCGTCCCTCGACGACTAACGTTTTCTACTAACTTTGTAAAAACTATCTGAATCAAGTCAATCGTCGTCTCTCGTGGGACATGTTGTTTTCGCCAAGTACTGCCGTGCGCCTGTCGTGTCTTGAACGACGTGAAAATGAATTCGCGTGCAAAAATTCTGGATTCGAGTTCGTTTATGCATAGATTGATGGAGCTCTTAGACGCCCGTGGTTGTGAACGGGTGCATCTCGACGTCGGAGAGCGTAAAACGCTCCTCTTCCTTCTCAACGAGGAGGTTGCGGACCAAGTGAGCGGCGTTCTCCGACATGGTGGCCGGGATCTCAACAGGGAGGATGACGTAGTCGACCTTCGACGGTGTCGGTGCGTTCGTGGCGTCGTAGCGGGGTGGGCCATGGCCGTCCATGAGCAACGTGTACAACACGATGCCGAGGCCCCAGAGATCCACCTAATCGACTGCATGAGCAAATGAGCAACAAAAGTGACGCACGCACGGAAGTCCAGTGGGGCTTTCCTTCCAGTTTCTCAGGCGCGGAGTACAGGTTGCGGTTGTCGTTCGAGAGACGACCTCCTTTTGTGTTGCAGGCCGAGAACCCGAAGTCGGTAATTTTGACCACGTCCTATACAAGCAAAATATGAGAATGGAACAAATCAAACGCAGCCGGACGTTGTGGTCCAGAAGGATATTCTCCACACGGAGGTGGCGGTGGAGCACGCCCTTGCCGTGGATAGAGGTAAGCCCGCGCACGAGCTGGCGGATGATGCTGGCCACGCGAAATGTCGAAAACGCGCCGTTGGACTGGAGCAGCGCGTTGAGGAGGTTGCCCTTGGCGCAGAGCTCTTGGACGATGTACACCCGGCCCTTGTGCGTGAACCAGTTGTATGCCGCCACGATGTGGGCGCACCGGATGCGGATTTGGGATTCACCCTCCCGGCGGAAGTTGATTGCTTGGCGCACGTCCTTGAGTGCGTCCAGCGGGATGGCCTTGACAGCCACGATAGTGTTGGACGGCACGTGCACCGCCGCGCGGACAACGCAGCTCTTACCGCAGTCGAGCTCCTTGACAAATCGAAAATCTTCAAACGTCGTGGTGCTCACGAGCGTACTGAAGCCGCTCGACCAGTCCCCCGACACACGAGCGTTGCTGGGAAATCCCGTTATGGGCAGGGCAGCGAGGACGACGGCGACGCCGAGCACTGGGCGATGGGCGCTTGGACCCAAGCGGGGACAAGGACCGCTGGCGCGGCCACGGCGCTTGCTGCCGCTCCCCGCTGTGTCTTGCAGAACATTCTTGACTGGATCCTTGCCACCTAGCTTGACGTGTCACGCTCACATTGCAAAGAAAAGGCGCGTACGGTGGCGTCGCGCGTGATGGCGCGGGTCGACGTTGTCGACAGCGGTGCCAGTCGCTTGTTCACCAATGGGTGGAGTCCTTGCGTGCCTTCTATAGAC